GAGTTTCTCCAACAATTTCTATTTTTGCTTTAGAAATTATTTTAAAATTTGCTTTAGAAATTTCTACCTGTGCCACTCAATAGTTGATCACTCATTGTATAACTGTGTATTTGGTGAATGTTTCAAGACCTAAACTCAGTGTTTTCTGTCTCCTCTCTTATCCATACCTTAATTATAGTGGATCTATTATATGTAGAATAGCATTAAGGTTATGAAGATTTGGTTAAGGTTATCTTGGGAATGAATTCCTCGTAGGATTCAATATACAGTTGCTATTCAATAGAAGCACATAAACAATCTAAATAGTTTGGAGCTGCAAGTCATTGTTCATTTCATAACACTATTATCTCCAAGTCAACAAGTTCAAAAGCCACTTCACAGACTGAGTGCACTTCAGTACAATGCTGAGGCAGTGGTGCACTGCTAGAGCCGCTATTTTTGGACAAGACTCCACCTGCTGTCACAGGCGAGTTATTGTAAAATATCCCATGATGTTATAATGAAGAAAAGATCTTTGGTGATCTAGACAATGTTTATCTCTCAATCAATATTACTAAAATCAGATTAAACAAAAACAGAAATTGCTGAAGAAACGCTTTATGTCTGGCAACATCTGTGGAGAGAAAGCAGAGTTAACATTTTGAGTCCCAGTGACCCTTTTTTGAGAACAGTTCTGAGTTGCTTGCGCAATTTCTGCGTTTTTTTTATTCCAGAATTTCAGCAGTTGTTTGTTTTATCTCACTAAAGCAGATTACCTGATCATTATCACATTGGTGTTTGTAGGAGTTTGGATGTGAAGTGGTTGCTACATTTCCCACATAACGACAGTGGCTGCACTTCAAAAGTACATCTTTGGCTGTGAAGTAGTTTGGATGCTCTAATGTTGCAAAATGCATTACATAAATGCAAATATTCAATAGAACTGGCGTCTGGATATTACAGATTTCTGAGGGGCTCATGATAGGGAAAGTTTACGATTTTAATGCTCAAAATATCCGTGGAAGTAACTTGTCCAGGGAATTGGTCTGAATCAACAGCACCATACGGCAGGATCTCTGCATGCTGTCAGATTAAGGGAATGTTTCGCACCTGTAGATCAGAGCGTACTTACACTGAGGGTCAGTGAGTTTTAATAAGTCCGATCAAATAAGTTAGTTTAATTTCAAAGCTCTGAACTCATCGTAACTGTTGTTCCGCTCCTTGATGAACACAATGTCTCGACTTGGCAACCTGTTAAACTATTAAAACCGCATTACAAAATATAACTTGCACTTGTTTTCAGACGTCTGGAGCGTGTCCTCAGACAGTGGCGGGCCCCCAGTTTATCTGATGTTCCCTAACTTGAGAGTTTATTGGTGAACTGAGACGCCAGTCAGCTTAGTATGTCACTGCGGTCGTCAGGCCCCTTGCCCCTCCAGCGAGATTTTTGTGGTTTAAAATCCTTATCAACCGCAGAAGACGTCAAAAGGGACATGGCATCATACTGTTCTTAACACGAGTAACTGTCGGCTTGTTTTGACAGGAAATTTGTTTTATGAAAAGGGCGTTGCCTGCTATAACATCTGTTCCTTGCTCTGTAAACTTCTGTTTGTGGCACTGCTTTGCGTGCGAATGTATGTTATCTATTAGGGCTTTAATATTATGGGTTGGTGAAGCTGGTTGAGGGGAGAGACAAAAGGTGTTTGCACATGCGTAGGTGCATACACTCAGGTACGCTTCCAGGTATTTGGCTTTTTCCTTCAATAAAAGGTACAAATGAAAAAGGTGTCAGTGACCTATTTTGCTGATAAGCATTACTGGATTGCAGCAAAATCATTGCTAAACTAGTGTGTACTTATTTTCCTTTAGCAAAAGGCCATACCTCCGACGGCCTGGGGTGACAATTTTAACCTGAAATGCCCATTTGGAAACGGAAGCGATTGGGTGCACTGCTCCTTTATTGCCTTCCTGGTGTTGCTCTCCAATTAAGTCAGTGGAGAGTGGCCTTAATAGCCGAGCATTCTATCCTGCTGTTGTGGTGCATTGATACTTCAGAGCTAGAAGGCCCAGGTTCCAGTCGAGTCATAGAGTTGAACACCACGGAAACAGACCGTTCAGTCCAACTGGTCCATGCCTATCAGATATCCCAAATTAAATAATACCTGTACCAGAGGTGTATCATAACATGCCTGAACAGGTTGATTAAAAATTATCTCTATCATGTTCCTGAGGAGACTGTCCCACCATCTCAATAATTAGTCTGCAGAACCTCCACTACACTCATTCTATGGAACTTGTGTTGTTGTTGTCACTCTACATTACAAACCAGTCATCCACCAATTGACCTAAAGCAACCTTCACTGGCTGATATTACCTTAAAGTATTCTCCTTCTCAACGTCTGTCTTCAGCTGAGCTATGGTGGCCTTCAGGTTAAATCACCACTAGTGGTGCCTCCCCAGTGAGAGAGCAGCCTATGGTCTAGTAAGGCCATGGTGACATGAACTTGAATATCTTTGTTTAACAAAAAATTATGTATTTCAAATTTAAAATTAACAATGGATCCTGCATCCCCTGCATTTGTGGAAGAGAGTTCCAAACATCTATCACCCTTTGTGTGTGGAAGTGCTTCCTAACATCTCTCCTGAATGATCTGGCCTTAATTCTTAGACTATGCCCCCTAGTTCTAGGATCTCAACCAGTGGAAATAATTTATCTGCCCTGTCTTTTCCTGTTACCATCTTGACTTTGATCAGATCGTCCTTAACCTTCTAAATTCCAGACAAAATAGACCTACCTTCATAGACTCCCTACAGTGTGGAAGCAGGCCATTTGGCCCATCAAATCCACACTGATCCTCTGAGAGCAGCTCGCCCAAATCCACACCTACTCTATCCCTGTAACCCCGTACTTCCCATGGCCAATCCATCTAACCTGCACATCTTTGGACTGTGGGAGGAAACCCACACAGACACAGGGAGAACATGCAAACAGTCGCCCAAGGGTGGAATCAAACCAAGGTCTCTGGTGCTGTGAGGCAGCAGTGCTAACCACTGAGCCACCGTGCCACCCTTTTCTCCCCTATTTCCTGCCACAGTCAGCCCTCCATCTCCCACTTCTGGTGTCATTCCCTTACATAATCTTTCCTTTGTGTAATCTCTCCTCATAAACCCTGTGTCATTCCTGCAAACTCCCTCTAAGGGCAATATATCCTTCCAAATGTGTGGTGCCCAGCTATGTTCTCCTTGCTTCCAATGGAGTCTAACCAGGGTTTTGCATAACTGCAGCATAAATTCTGTGTCCTTGTACGCCAGTCGTTATGGATATATAGTAAAGTCCAGTATTCCATTACCTTTCTTGATTATTGTCTGCACCTGTTCATGACATTTTAAAGATCTATGCACCTGAACCCCAAATCTCTTTTGGCATGCACTGTATTTAAATTAATTCCATCTAGAAAATGCCCTGAATTACTTTTTTTTTGGTCGAAAATGGATGACTTCACACTTACTTACATTGAATTCCATTTGCCACAGCTTTGCACATTCACTTAATCTATCAGTATCCCTTTGTAATTTCATCTACACTGTCTACAATGCCACCTAACTTTGTGTCCTCAGCAAATTTGGATATATGACTTATTTTATATTATTATCCATCTTGCATGGATTGGTGTTTAGAAGTGGGGAAGTCTTGCTACAGCTGAACAGTGCATTGGTGAGACTGCCCCTGGAATACTATGCACATCTTTGACTTCCTTAAGGAGGAATATATTTGCAGCAGAGCCAGTTCAGAAAATGTTCGCCTTGTCAATTCCTGGGATGAAAGTGTTGTTTTAGGAGGGAACAGCAAACAGGTCAGGCCTAAAGTCATAGCAGTTCAGAAGAATGAGAGATGATTATTGAAATATATAAAATTCTTAAGGGGCTTGAGTTGGTAGATAATAATAAAGTGTTTCAATTTCCTTGAGAATCTGCTACTAAGAGATACAGTATAAAAGCAAAGGTTTCTGTTTAAATGAAGAGGCAGATGAATTCCATCTCTGAGAGTGATCAACCTTTGAATTCTCCACAGCACAGAGCAGTGTAGACTAAGTTACTGAGTATGTTCAAGACTAAGTTAGACAGATTTTTGTTTAACAAGGGGAGGGGGTTTAAGCATTATGGGAGATCGGCAGAAAAGTTAAATTAAGGCCATAATTAGACCCACACAGTCTTGTCAAATTGTCTAATCCTGCTCCTATCTCTTATGATCTTATGGTGCGTGACGTATGGTCACAAGGAAGGAAACCAGAAGGACATTGTCCTAGACATTCTTCTCCAGCATGAAAAAGCATTCTTGTTGTACCTGGCTTCACAAAATATCATTTGCAACTTATGTCTACAGGTAACTTTGGCTATATTATCAGTTAATCTAAATGTACTTCAAAGCGCCCCAAATTGCTTCTTGAAAGGAGCTCACCACTTGAAATAAGCAGGCATTTAGCCATCCAATGTTAGGCATTTGTGAAAGTAGCAGTGAGCTGGTCCTCAAAATCAATGAGACAATTTTAAGATTGTTATTTTTTGGCATTACTCTGTTGTGGCAAGTTGAAATCAATCCCAATTTCCAGAAGCTACTCTGAATAGAGAAAGCAATTGAACCCAAAAGTTATTGATACTTTTCTTTCATAAAAGCTTGCATCCTTCAGAATGGGTCAAGGAGATTCATATCTGGTCTAAACTGTGGAAGGATCTATGGAAGCATGGGAACTACCCCTGACATACCCCTTGATATGGTTGATAATAACAGGAAGATCTGCTCACATCTCTTGTCGTAATTTAATGATTTGGTCAAAAGGAACAATATCTTGGCAGATCTGAGATCCTGAACATATTCTGGGCCATACTCCCTTAGCTGGTAGTGTGCTGTCTCCAGCCCTAGGAATTTTGGGGTCAATGTACACAGTATCTACAAGGGTGTTGAAATTTAGCCACTCTCACCTGCATCAATGAAAGATCTTCAATTGGAACTGCAACTGCAATTCTATTTCTTGTATAATTTTTATTCTTTTCATTTTCAAATGCTTACTAATTCATTATGTTAAAACCTCTGTATCAGTAATTACTTGTGCTACATACTGATCTAGATTCAAATAACCTTCTGTGTAAAATATATTTTGTAACTTCACATTTTATTTATGTTGTTTCTAATCTTGATATTACATCCCTGTGTTTGACAAGGACATAAAATAAAAAGGCTTCAATGTTGCAATCCTGTAAAGGGCAAACCAGAATACCACAGCATCTGAAAGAGGAAAGAAAGTTTCTCATGTCATGTCACGACTCGTGCTTTAAAGTTAGAGAAGTTCTGGAAAGATTACTTTTCAACCTTTCAGAGTCAGATGTCCTACATCTTAGTTGATTTCTTTTTTTAAGTTTTTCAAAACTATAATAATAATCTTGGCTGTTTTAATACTTTAGAGGAACTTCACAAAGCCCAAAACGTCAGCCTTTCTGCTCCTATGATGCTGCTTGGCCTGCTGTGTTCATCCAGTTCTGCACCTTGTTGTCTCAGATTCTCCAGCATCTGCAGTTCCTACTATCTCCATCATTCTTGTTTAGCATTGGTTGAGGCCTGTAGCTTCTGTTGGATAAAATGGCACATTTAAGTGTAAAGGTAGGAAAATATAAATTTACGTTAGTTTCTGACAGTTCAACAAGAAAGTTTTTTTTCCAATTCTCCATATTGCCGTTCTGTCTTCTGTCAAGTTTTTTTTTCAAATTGAAACATGTTAATATAATTAATGCAACACTGCCTTTAAAATGTCAACATAAATGTTTGGCTCATCACAATCATCATTTTGGATCCTCACAACATAGACAAGGACTATGGAGTCAAAACTCTTTACAATCCATTTCAGGCAGCTTTTACTGAAGGACTATCTCCTCCCCTTACAGGTAGGATGGGGTAACAACAAAATCATACCATGATATGCGTGGAAGGCTTACAACCATGTACAGACTAACTGTGCTTACCATTTTACGATCAAAACATCTGCTTGGCCTCTAAACAGACATAACCACAAATAATCGAAGCTGGTCAAAAAAGTTAGTGATATTACAGGAGACCTAATCATATTATATATGAAATTATCAACATAACATTTCACTACATAGTTTGAAAATTTGATCTATATAATTTACAGTTGACTAACAATAAAGACCACAGGCAGCAACTTTGAAAGAGCTAAGCAAGAATTATAGCATTTAATAGGATTAGTAGCTTCATAGTTTTCAACAAAGTTCAAAGTTCAAAGAATTATGTATGTGTTGTCATAAATTATGCTTTAATAATAGAAAGCAATAAAAGTAACATTCATTAAAATTTATACTAAAAGATTTTAAAATATACCTATGAATAAACAATACCAATGATAAGTATCATTATGTTAAAATTGAAAATATATAACCAAACAAACTGAAAGCATTTACCAGTGAATTAAGTTCAGAGTACACCGAGGGAACAGTGGAAAACTCTAATGATTGTTTACAAGAATTTATGGAAGAGGCCAGAGACAACAAATGTGGTATAGTAACTACTTGGAATGAATGCATTGTTGGAAGATCTCTTTGTGTTGCATAGTAACATGGTGACCTTCTGAAGTTGCAATAGAGCAAAGGTCCATCTAGCTGACCAACCTACTTCCCAACATTACCTTGAAGCAATCTAGGCCCGAAACGTCAGCCTTTCTGCTCCTATGATGCTGCTTGGCCTGCTGTGTTCATCCAGCTCTACACCTTGTTATCTCAGATTCGCCAGCATCTGCAGTTCCTACTATCTCTGATTCAATTTTATTTCTTGTCTTGTTTTTCCTCTTTCAATTAACCTCTTTATTCGTCCAACCACTTTCCCCCTCTTCATTCTTCTTTTTGTACCTGATTTGTATTGAACTAACAACTCTATGCTTCCTTGCAACACTTGTATTTGTAATATCACAATCCCACAATCTGATTGGACAGGACGCAAAATGTGGTTCTTCTTGTCCTGGAATTACATTGCAGTTTCAGCAACTTGGTGCAGCCCTGAAAAGAAATGTGGAAATCTAAACATGTGAAGTGAAGTCAGCAGGCATGGTTAGACCCCTGGCTGCAGCAAATTTGTCTGGATTTTATTGGCTCTTGGGATGTGGAATGGCATCATGGTTAGCACAGACATGGTTGGTCTGAAGGGCCTGTTCCTGCACTGTACTGTTCTATGTGAGTGTTGCTAGTGTGGCCATATTCATGGCCCATCCTTAATTATCTTGAGAACTCGTTGGGGCTTTCTTGAGGATGCTGATGTGCTTCAAATATCTTAAACCCAAAAATGATGAAGAAATGATTGAGCTGGAGGGAAAAGATAAAGAAAACAAAGTTAGCCAATTGAAAAATGAAAGATAAAATTACAAAACAGAAATGCAAAAGCAAAGTATAAGAAGGAATAAGTGATGGACAAACGGTTGTGCAGACAAGATTTCCCATTTTCTCTTTCCAGAGACAACATTCAGTGGCTCAGACAGCTACCCCATGAAGAACATTAGTTGGGCCAATTATACAATCAATTGTTCAGAGAAGGTTCACCAGAATGATCCATGGTATGGAGGGATTGTCTAATGATCAAAGGTCAAATAGATTCAGGCTCCACTCACTGGAGTTTAGAAGAATGAGAGATGATCTCATTGAAACATATGGATTCTTAAGGGGTGTAATGGGGTAAATGCTGAGAGGATAACTCCCCTCATGGGAGAGCCTACACCAGAGCGAACAGTCCCAGAATAAAGGGGGAGTGCAATTTAAGACTGAGATGAGCAGGGATTCCTTGTCTCAGAGGGTTGAGAGTGTTTGGAACTCCCTGCCGCAGAGAGATGTGGGGACAGAATCCTTGTCAACAGCAAAAAAAGTTGCTGGAAGGGTCACTGGACCCAAAACATTAACTCTGTTCTTTCCTTCACAGATGCTGCCAGACCAGCAAAGCTTTTCCAGCAACTTTGTTTTTGTTCCTGATTAACAGCATCCGCAGTTCTTTTGGTTTTTATTACAGAATCCTTGTGTATGTTTAAGGCTGATAGATTTTTGATCAATGGGGAATTTGGGTTGGGGGGGTGCGGAGGGCGTGAAAAATGTGTGATCAGCCATAATGCTATTGAATGGGAATGAACAGGCACTTGGGATGAACAGCTTACTCCTGTTCCTATTTCTTATGGTCTTATGGTCTAATAGCAATACTTTCACAAAAGCAAATTTTCATTAAATTCATTGAATATTATCACCTAGTGTGCATTCTGTATAACGGATGCTGTAAAATAACAGTTGCTTCCAATGCTTCCGCAACAGTTAGGCAGCGGTGCTTGTAAATGCCCCTTATTCTTTGGGTTTGTTTTTGTATTCATTATTCAAACTAGTTTCCTTCGGTCGAGCTAAGAAATTACGATTCTCGCTGTGCGCATGCGCGGGTCTAAGTGGGACTTAAGTTTGAAAACTTCATACAATATTTTCATACTTAGAGAACGCTACAAGAAGTGAACTTCCGCCGGTATAACGGTCAGGGCTGTTGGGAATCGTGCAGAATGACTGAAGATTCAGAGTTCGATGAAATGGTAAGAGAAGGTTTAATCAATATCAAAATGTTCCTTTAAATATTTTTATGTTTGTAAATAACTGTACATTGTGAAACAAAATTAAAAATAATCTGTACTTAAAAAGATGATGTTTTATTTCCAAAACATACTTTTAAGTGTTGCAAATGCATTTATGTATAGTTTGTAAATGAATTTATATGAGTACAATGTGCAGGTAACAATTTGCCTATGGCAGTTGTGTGCCAAGCAAGAATGATCACAATCATTTTAGCATATTAGATATTGAAGATATCACTGAAAATTCAATAGGAGTTTTATGGGGTTTTTTTTAATGCTTCCAGTTCGAAATTAAACTCTCCAAATTGTGATTATTTAGTGAAACCGGCCGCAGGGGAAGAAAGTTGAAAAGACATTTTACATTGCTGATCTGATTTAGCCTCGAGTATCTGGTTAGGGGTTTTCATTTTACCGCGTCTTGTATTCCGATTTGCTGTTTGAAACCAGCGCGGTTAAGATTCTTTAGCTTTGGAACTAAGAAATCACAGGAGGTAGAAAGTTTAAAATAACAGCGTTCAACCACAGTTTTTCAAAGTTAAAAGGCAAGTTTCATTGATGCCAATGAATAGATCCGTTCGCATTCGTCTCTTCCACATAGAGGAAGCGCTTATACCTCCAGGTGGCTACCTGGTCCCGCAGGTATATTTAACTCGGGGCATATAGATTTGGTACATGCCAGTATTGTTGAACGAGGTCACGAACGCTCCAACTGTCATGCATGGGGAACAGTTAACGCAGTAATAACAAGCAAATCTCCTCAGGCTTCTGCTGGCCTTTACTTATGACTCAGTGAAACTTCAGCGCGCGGAATGAAATAGCAGTCAGCAACCTGAGAAAGAAAACGTTGAAGTGGTTTACAAGTAGCCGTTAAAATTTCGGTGTCAAGTCGCAAGGAGCAGAATAGCATAGCTCAGAGCGCTGTTTGAACAGAATTACTGCAAGCATGAGTCCCACATGAGAGTGAACCCCAACCTCCCCCCGCTCCCCACTCCAGCAACTAGGAGTCAGTCCTGCTTTGAGATGAGGACTCGTCACTGTGACTTCTTTTGTAAAAATCCCCCGCTGTTCCATTAAAAAGTGAAACACGCGCTCGCCAGTTCGAGGCAACGTTGCGCTTCCCAAACCCAACCTGCCTCTTGGTGAATTTTCAGCGTATTTTTAGCACGCAGCGGGGTCCCAGACCCGGTCTGTCTCCTCACACGCGGATTGCCTAGAGTTGAATTATGCCGATGCTGGAAATCTGAATCAAAACCAGACATTCCTGAAGAAACTCCGCAGGTCTGGCAGAATAGGACTGGAAACGCTAAGTGTCTCTCTCTCTCTCTCCACAGATGCTGCCAGACCTGCTGCGTTTCTCCAGTCATTTAGAGTTTACTTTTAACAGTTGTAACTCAATCCTGCAACAACAACCACAAGGCTGGCCTTAGCCGTTAACAAGTTCAAAACTTGTGGCTGTCAGAAATTCTAACCCAAACAACCCAAAAGCCTGTTTCCTATTGGAAACTTTAGGGTGTGGGTGGTAACCACGTGGCTCTGGTGGTAATGAAGAGCCGGGGCTGAAAATGTATCGATTAAACTGACGGTTTGGGTGTTTGTTAATAAAGCTTCTTGTTTATTTTACAGTATTATCGCCTGGCTTATGATGCCAATTATCCCAATGATACTGACGTGTACAATTACACATATCCAGAGGGTGCCTTATGCGATGGAGAAAACGCGTACTTTAAAAGCATCTTCTTACCGTGTGTCTACTCACTGGTGTTTGTGCTGGGGGTGGTGGGCAATGGCCTGGTGGTGGTCATCATGGGCTACCATGGAAGAGTGCGCACCATGACGGACAAATACAGGCTGCACTTGTCGGTGGCGGATTTGCTGTTTGTCTTGACCCTGCCCTTCTGGTCTATCGACGCGAGCCTCAGTTGGTACTTCGGAGACGCGATGTGCAAGATCGTGCACATCATCTACACCGTCAATTTGTACAGCAGCGTGTTAATTCTCGCCTTCATCAGCCTGGACCGCTACTATGCGGTGGTGCATGCGACCAACAGCACGGGACCGCGGAAGCTGCTGGCTGATCGGTTAGTCTATGTGGGCGTCTGGTTACCAGCCATTCTGCTCACTGTGCCCGACATTGTGTTTGCTAAAACCAGAAATCTCGACGACAGGGTGGTGTGTGAGCGCATTTACCCCGATGGCACGTACCAGTTCTGGAGGATGAGTTTCCGAATCCAAGGCATCGCGGTGGGCTTCGTTCTGCCCGCTCTGGTCATCCTCATCTGCTACTGTATCATTATTTCCCGGCTGTCCCGTTCCACCGGCTTGCAGAAGCGCAAAGCCCTGAAAATCACCATCATCCTGATTGTCACCTTCTTCTGCTGCTGGCTACCCTATTACATCGTCATCTCCATTGACACGGTGATGCTCATGAAAGACAGCGCCTACTCCTGCGAGCTGGAGCAAATTGTCATCACCTCGATGGCCATCACTGAAGCCATCGCCTTCTTTCACTGTTGCCTCAATCCCATTCTGTACGCTTTTGTCGGGGTTAACTTCAAAACTTACACTCGAAGAGTCTTCAATCACTCTGACACCAGATGCTCCTCTCTTAAGAAACTCAAAAGCAAAGACAGACGAGGAGCCCATCCGTCAGTTTCTACCGAGTCTGAGTCTTCCAGTCTTCAGTCAACTTGCTAACTTATTCCCCACTCCACTTTTGTAAAAAATCTGCATTAATGCATATCAATGTTTTCACTACTGAGTCCAATTCTAAATGTTGTTTAATGTTGCGTTTGCTATTTATATAATGAGTTATTTATGTCTCCAAAGCTTTGTCACCTTATAAATACTATTGTGTATTCTGTTCTGTAAATGGTTCTAAAATTCAAAGAGAAAACAGCGGCAGGGAAACACATGTAGCTGAGCTTCATTTAGTTTTTGAGCGCATATACCTTTGTCATTTGCAATGATGTAAATAAAGTATGCGTTTGAATAATAAATATTTACTTCGCGTAAGTATGCCATTATAACTGGCTTTTGCTTGTATCAGTTTGCTAGAAGCGAATTTGCGAACTTGACTTGCTATAGATTATGTAAATAAATACATTATTTCTCATTTGAAATGTTATAGCATTTTTCTGTCCACCATATCATATCGTTATGCCTACACACACACACCAATATCAAAATATCTACCCAGATAGTAGGAACTGCCGATGCTGGAGAATCTGAGATAACACAGTTTAGAGCTGGATGAACACAGCAGGCCAAGCAGCATCAGAGGAGTTACACACCCCCTGTTGTTAGTCACTAACAGTCCCCATTGACAACTACTCACCCTCCCAGCCTGATCGTTAGCAACTCCTTTGTCTGTCCAACTGTCTTTCTCTCTTCCAGCTCTATCCTATCTTTACTCCCTACCCCACCCACCTTCCTATTTTCTGCATATAAACTGACGTTTTCCCAGCCACCATCAGTTCTGAGGAAGGGTCACCGGACCCAAAAGTTAACTCTGTTTTCTCCTCCACAGATGCTGCCAGACCTGCTGAGCTTTTCCAGCAAGAGATAGTAGGAACTGCAGATGCTGGAAAATCTGAGATAACAAGGTGTAGAGCTGGATGAACACAGCAGGCCAAGCAGCATCATAGGAGCAGGAAGGCTGACGTTTCAGGCCTAGACCCTA